CTTGCTTGGTTATTATACGGGAATTATAAATGCGTTCTTGTTAATTCTAATTCCATAGGAATATAGGCGTTAGATTAGCTTGAATAGGCGAGTTGTACTTCGGGAGAAGACTACCAGCAATATTAACCCTGTCAACCAATAAACCAGATAAATTAATTAGACGATTTAAGTGAAAAACTCAACGGGATTGTTAGCTAACCCATAGCTCTAGAATATTCACTCACATTGAATTCGTCTCTATAATTCGCCAACTTGTTTTCTTTAATCTCTTAATTTGTTACTCTGGATTAATTTTATTTAAATATTCATACATTAGGATTTACTTGAATAGATTAATTGTTTGGTTTAATTTAGTTGATAGTTAATCATAAGTCTCTGTGGGTGCGATATCTGGACTTACAATCCTATATTACTTGTCGACCACGTATACTTACGTGTGCGTTGGGAGCAACATGCAGCTTGTATTTCACTGTAATTGTTAGTTGAGAATGGGAGAAGATTAGCAAAGGCTATAACCATATCTCCATTTTTTATTCTAACAATACCTCAAGCTCCAACTAACTTCCGAGAGGTCATACAGCTGCCATTAGTGTGTAGAATCAGACAATTTGAGAATATTCAACTCCATTTATTCTTTTTTGCTACAAAATTGACACAAAATTACGATGTGCATTAATAAAAATTACAGGAATCATTCTGGATAATACTCGCTGAGGATATTTCTGTCACCTTTTAACTTTCCTCATCGAGTCATTTCCAAATTATTCTCACAAAAACCAATAGAAACAAAATTACAAAAGATAGGTAAAATAAATCATCTAATTTGGCGAAGAACTCACGACTATCTTTTGGGAAAACCACATGGCTAGCTGCTCCGATCCTGAATGATAGATGGACGCATAAAATGACTATTTAATATATGCGTCAGAGCAATTAATACGAGAGCCAGTGGCGGAGCCACGTGCAACAAAGGGGTGTCGACCGATACCTCTTCGCCGGAAAATCACGCTGTATAACTTGGTATTTTTAAAAAAAAATATGTATGTACTATATAATGACACCCCTTGACTTCTTGGAGAGTTTATTTCTGTATATTTTGACTCCCCTTAATAAAAATTCTGGCTCCGCCACTGACGACAGTATTCCTATTAAGTAATTGCAGGTTGACCTTGACCTTGTCTTGCTTTAAGAACAAGTTCTTCAGTAGTTGTCCCAATAATCTCATTAGCCCTTTTAAGACCAATACAAAAATACCTTCCAATTTCATCCTTTGAAACAATTCCTAATTTCTCTAACTTTTGAACTGCATCATCTACATCAAAATTACAGCTTATTCCAAATCTTTCTTTAATTAATTCCTCACATCTTTGATCAAGATCCAATAATGTAGCTTTCCCTTGTTCCATTAATATAAAATATGAAATAATTACTTCTTTAACTTCTTGTTGTATAACGTCATCACACAAATGTAGAAGTGTACCACGTCCACTGTCTAATTGTTTATCATACATTGATTGTGTGATTAAATTCTGATACTGAGCCATATTCTGTTGAAATGTGAAGTAAATTTTTGCACAATAGCCAATTATTGTGGATAAAATTGCAAAAAGGACCCATAAATCAGCTTCTGGCATGTCAAGAGAGGTCACAACTGCAAAAAGACCAACAATTGCAGATGCAATAAATTGTACCCAATCCATTGGTGTTAAACTTGGATTCTTTTTCTCAGGTAAAACAATTTCTAAATCAGCCATTGGTATATTTTTCAAATGCTTCACATAAATTCCTCTATCGGGTTTTTCTTCGTCTTCACTAGCTCGTCTGTACACCACGATTATCCTTTCAAATGTTGGTTCTTGAATTGTAATTTTTCCCAATACATTTGGGACAGTAAGTTCCATATTCTGAATTCGAATTCGTTCAACGTAAAAATCTTGTTCTTCTTCAGAAGGGATTCTTTTCTTCAGCGGTTTCTTTTTCTTATTAATTTTTCTTCGAAAATATTTATCACCACCTGTTTTTTTCAATAGCCATTTCCATGTACGCGTAATTATCATGTCAATTTTTTCCATAATAAACCAATCTGTCGTCCTGTCAATTCCAATGCCACGACGAAAAATTACATATTTATCAGCAAACTCAGGGAGTTTTTCATCGTGGTGATGATTAGCAAAATATTTTGACAATAACTTAGTATCAAGCTTAGATTCATCAACCGTTATTGGTAGATTTAACAAATATTGCCCTGAATTCGCAATTTCTAGCTCTTCATCTGTGGCGATTTTGAAGTTACTCTTGTCCATAATTTGGAATAAATATCTCAAGAAATTTTGTTCAAGTACGTCGATATCATCATCTGAGAATTTTTGTTGCTCGAGATTTTGAGCACCATGAACAGGATCAAATAACGCGTATAATTGCATTAAATCTTCAAATTGTATAAGGTACCACGCACGAATTGTGTACTCAACCCTTTTGGATAGCTTGAGAAATTCATCGCGATCTGAATTATGTTCGATTAAATTGGCTAATGTCATAATTAGCCTGGATTTAAGAACTGGAATAACAGATTCTCGTTCTAATCGTATCACTTCCTTCTTCTTCTCTTTTTTCTTCGTAGTATCCATTGTTCTATTCGAAGCTCAGAGTCAAAAGTGAAATTTCGAAAGGTAGAAATAAGGGTAATTGACGAGGCAAAACGTTATGTTTTCTTACTTATAAAGCTACAAAGGAAGGTGATATTATACTCAATTGTAAGGAGAAAAAGACGGTAACAAAATTTGCATAATTTAAGAATTAATGAATGGATGAAAGGTAATAAGTAACTACTAATTGTATTATTTTTCTCTAACTGTTGGCCTAATTGCCATTGATTTGCTTGGGGGAATATGGTTTTTAAGGTATTTTTTGACGTGTGTTTTTATTTTACATATTTGACTCATTAAACTCGCAGAAAGTTACCGATCTTTTTACGTATGTAACTAAATATACCTAACACTAAAACTAACTTCACTACAAGAATTCTCGACTACAAGAAGTCTAAAGTTTTAATATTTCTTTTCCTTCCCTTCATTTTTCAGGCCAAAAGAATTTTAAATAGAAAAGAATTAATTGAAACAAAAATACAAGGAAAAAAAAAGAGATATGCCTACTAAACTGAATTAATGATCTAAATCAAATTACGTAAAAACATAATATATATCAAAAATAAATAATTTGAACCATAACCATAACCAACATCAGGCTTTTGAGGTCGATCTGTAACCATAAATAGAGGGTGTCAAATGGGCGGATTGAGCTGATTTTGAGCGGATCAAAGTTTGTTGAGTCAATAAATGGGCAGGTCAATGACCCGCCCAAAAGTAACTTGGCTGGGTCAAGTTGGGCTAAAATTTGGGTCATCACCCAACATTTATCAAGTGTTAATTAATGTGTATTGTTTCTAATGAATTGTTTTCAATTATGAATTAACACTTTTTTCTTTTGTTATGCTCATTTCAAACAAATATTTTAGCAAAGTTACTTATGGATCAATTTGGGCTAAAGATCAATCCAACTTTAGATGGGCTGAACGGGTTGTGTCAAGATGAGCTGAGTTCATCAAATGGACGAGTCAATGACCAATCTAATCTTGGGCGGGTTAAACGTGTCAAATGGGTTTGAGCTCAAATTGCCACCTCTAACGTAATCAACATCATGGATTAAATGTGATTATGTTACTATGTGATGTAAAGCTATGATAGAAACAAGAAATATTTGCTATAACTCCCTCTATATCGTGTTTTTTTTCCTTTCTTTGCATCGGCCTAACTCAATGTCAAAAGCTAGCTCATAAGGTGAGACACATAATAATAAGGATGAGTCTGACTTCGATTATACCATGTTAAGAATGTTTTGCCAAAAAATGTAGATCTTGGTTCAAATAATTAAATTTATATAAATAAAGGTTAATCTTAGTTAATAATAATATCCTTAGATGAAGTTTTTAATGAAACAATGAATGTCGGGTAGATCTGGATGAGCAGATGCAATAATATGTAACTATTCTAGAAATCAGGAGCAATAATATAGCATTTAATAGCAATGAACCGCAATAAATGACATTTAAGTAAATAGGAGGAATGATTCACCCAATAAAGGATGAAATATGTGGATGTTCCTCCTAACAATGATGAATGATAGATAAATCCTTGAATATTCGAGTTATTCTCGGATATGATGGAAAAATATGGCCAAGAATCTCAGTGAAAAAGTGATGTTTGTTACTTAGCAAGTGAGAGCTGAATCTTTTAGTCAAAGTGTGTTCTTTACAAAATGAATATCACATGCCCATATCATTGTCTCTTTTTTCTATTTATATGGGGCATGTTCCTAAGAAATTCTAACAGTACAAGTGCAGAGAATATTCACTAGAATATTCTCTTTAATGTCCTATCTCGAAAACTAGCCATTACAAGTTTTGTCAACGGTACTCGACCTCGACCTTGTCCCTTGTTGATACCTCAACTACGGCCGGCTCTTGTTGATAATGACTGTTGTTGAGCACGACTCTTGTTGACCCCTCGACCACAGAATTTGCTGCTCCTTGGGCCATTTCGGCAAACATCGACTTGGGAACTCTTCCCTTAGTATTATCTTGGCTTAAATATTGTAAGGACGGATTTTGACCCATACAGTTAGTCCCTCCGCTTATTGAGGCCGACTTCAGGCGGGTCGATAAGAGGATTTTGGTCATTGTGGTCGAGACAATCGAGCGAGCCGTGCAGGTCGTGGTGGTCATAGTAATGTGGCCCTACGCAGACCACTTATTTCGAAACGCTTCGATTTTTCCGGTCGTTTTGTTGGAGCTGGGCTGTCCATGAATTAGGATTATGTCATAACGGCATACGTCATTATCACGTAAATTCCCGATTCATTGCCTCATTTTGCATGTGTCCCTTGATTGAACCTGCCGCTTCGGTTACAGTGCTAGTAATGGTGAACCGTTTTTTGTTCCGGCGCCTAGGTTCTTATTAATAGAGATGTTAGGGTGTGATTTTGAAGTTTCAAGCTTTCTACTTCGAAACCCCATAACTCTTTCTTTGTCTTCCCTAGCTTGATACCTCTCTTCTCTGTTCCAGTGGTTCCATTATTCTCAGTTCTTCATTGTTTGATACTTTTCTTTCTTCTGTTAAAACATGACTAACATATCTTCTAAGTCTAGCGAGGGAAGTGATGAGGTCCCTTTAGCGATGGTGTTTCCCCTTCACGAGGGGAATGTTCCTGCCGCCATCGAGGATGGGGGCTTCCCTTTGGTGGAGGAGAAAATTCCTCGCGATCCTGATACCAGGTCTGATTTCTCTAAATCACCTAACGCCGACCCTGGAGCCTTTTAGTCGGTAATGACAGAGAAAGAATTGGGAGAGCTTAGGGCTAAGTTCGGCATTCTCTATCACCTTGAGTTAATCATGGCTGGGTGAGATGTGGTGCAAGTCCATCGCCTTGGATATCTACGCCTTTCCTTTCCAAATCGTCTATACTCTCCCTTTCCTTCCACTAGCAGAGAATTTTGCTGTTATTACGCCGTTTGCCCAGCCCAGCTAGTTCCATATGTTTACAAACTCATAATGATGCTCACCAAATTTGTCGAGCTGGCCGAGGTCAACCTCATACTTCGACATTTAATACATCTGTTCGCTCCTAACTTTTATAGGGGGGACAATGTTGAACCTTCGTCACTGTGGAGGCAAATTCTTGGTGGTGAATATGGACAACAAAGCTAACCGCCAATTTTGGCTAAACTACTTCTATATCAGAACCGAGGATGTGGTGGCCAATGTCGACGCTTTTTCTGAGGTTTGGAATTGTACTCGTAAGTGCCTAGTTTTCCTATTTGTAAGTGTCTGAATTTTCTCCCTTGCTTGGTTGTGGGCTTTGATTTCTGGTCCTTTTTTTGTGCAGCTAAGATCTCGCCTCCTCCTTTGTTCGAAAATATCTTCGATTGGGTTGGTCCGCTCATCCCTCATCGTAGGTATCCGTGAGTGGCCGGGTTTCTTCATGAGGTTTAGGCTTGCTCTCCCTTTGACTGGTAATCCCCTTTTGTTATCAGAGTCGTAGTTCTTTTCTTTTTGTTTACCTTGTTGATCTTCCCATTTTTGTGTTTTTTCCTAGTTTCGACCAGGGGATCTTTGAAGATATCGAGAGCTCCGCCTCTCGTTCCAAAAAAGAAAAGCTAATGTGCCCTCGGTTTTCACCCTATCCTCAACTGCGGCCCCTTCTGTTCGTGCCCCGGTGCCTTCATCAACTGCGGTTGTTTCTGCTCATGCCCCAACCCCTCCTGTTACAGGGTCCGAGAGTGCTCCTTCCTAGTCTATGAGGGCTTCGACCACGGATACCTCAACCTCTCCACTATACCATATTATAGATGAAGACGATGAGCTTGTGCCAAGCGAGGGGATTTAATGCCCCATAAGAGGAGATCTATAGATGCTGACGACAGGGTCGCCCAAACCATTGATTTGAGGGCGGGTGATTTCACACTGCGCGAGATAGCACCATTATAATTGGAGATGATATTGAGACGGGGTCAGAGATTCCGAGGTTGGTGGAAGCAGACATGGATATTCCTTTCCCTTCTATGGTGGCGGAGGTGGAAAAGCAGTCGTTGACATTTTTGACACCTCGAGGCAAGAGGAGGCATCGACTTCCCAACCACCTGCTGATATTTCTTTGCCAACCAACGAGAGAGGTAAAGGAATTGCTGAGGAAGGCGATGAGTCACGTTCGGACGTTGATGCGGACAATCTGAAGATGATGGAGGAAGGGTTTACCCAACTTGAGATAAGTTTGGAGGGGCCTACGAGGATCATTGCGATCCCTATAGATCGTGACTTTCTGAAGAACATGGAGGACGTAGTTCCTGCCCTCGGCCCTCTTTGTTCCGAAATAGAGGGAAAACCCCTCAAAGAATTGGACGACGTCACTTTGTCGAGGAGCATAGCCGGCCTTGCTCTTAGGGTGAGTGTTTGGTGTTTTTTCATTCTCCTTTTTTTGTCCTTGGTAGTAGGGGCATTTTTGTTTTTGACTTACTTCTTTTCTTTTTGTGACTGCAGAGGGTGATTTAAGAGATTGAGAGCGTGTGAAGGGAGGAGAAGTGTAGAGAAATATTTGTGAGGTTGAAAAACAAATACTTCAAGTATCGCGGCAAGTACCGAGAGCTTCGCAGGCGATTTTGTAAGGACAACAACATGCAGGTCCTTCGTGATGAGCTGAAAAAGAAGGAAGATGAGCTGGTGAAAGCCATCGAGAAGTGTAGCATCCTTGAGGGGACATTGAGGAATGAAGAGGAGGAGCTTGAGGTCAGTACGGGCATGGAGGCCCAATGCAGTGGCCTTCAAACACAAGTGGCCGAGCTGCGTGGGCAATTGGAAGAATGTCAGCTTCAGCAGAAGGCCCTTAATGGTGAAGTCACCGAGAAGCAGAGCGAGCTCGAGAAGGCAAAATCTTCTTGTTTGGAGGCTTGGAGGAAATCAGAGATGCTAGAGTTGGCGAATATGCCCCTCTAGGCTGAGCGGGAGATTGACCAGTCCACGGCAAAAGTAAAAGAAGATCGACTGGAGGAAAGGATTGGAGAGTTGGAGAAGGATAACTCCATCCTCCATGACCAAGTGGCCGCTTTGGCAGTTGAGAAGGCCC